CTCTGTGCACCTCGGCAACATTAATCCAAAGCAACAAAACAATCTTTACTGCCACAGCAAGCTTCAATAGCTGTAACTGATGCAATTTTTTTTTTTCACCTAATCGTTGCTGATTTCTCGCTCATCGCTGCAGCCTCCTCTGTAGTGCATCGCTATAGCCTCCTCTGCAGCTTCCTTGCCCATCACTCCAGCCTCCTCTGCAGTGCATCGCTGCAGCCTCCTCTGCAACGCATCAATCTGCTTTTCTCCTCCTCCCTCCCTCCTATATCTTTACATTTTTTTGTAAAAATCACTTAAACCGTCACAAAATATATGGGATGTCTTCATTTTCCTCTTCTGATATTCCTATCCTTGTTTCTGTAGGGACTCTGAGCATTTCTCAAAGTCTTATCACCATCAATGCTGCAGCACTCATTCCCTTCAAATTATCCAAAGGCGGCAATTACGCATTTTGGTGGGCATAACTTTCTAATCTTCTATTTGGCTATGATCTCCTAGGTTACATTGATGGCTCTCTCATGCTCATATCCTCATATCCATTGCCCCGCTAATATCCTCATGTACGACTACTGCAGAAACATGGTGCAAGTTACAAATAACTTTTGCAAATCGCTCGCGTACTCGCATGCTCGGACTTCTCTCCAATCTAATGAAAACGAAACAAGAGGGAAGTACTATTGCTGATTATCTATAAAATATTAAAGTTATCATCGATGACTTAGCTTTGATAGGTCATTCTCTCAGTGATGAAGAAGTCATAATCCATACCCTCAATGGCCTAGGAGGCGAGTACAAAAAACTGACAGCAGCACTTCGGCTTCATAAATTATCCTTCCTACTGCTCCATCACAATGGCCTCAGGCGAATTTCATGGCTACTCTAACTCCTACCCAATCTAATTGGATTGTGGACTTGAGCAAATACAACATTTATGAGTGGTCATCCGCTTCATAAATTATCCTTCCTACTACTCATTCTTCAGTCGTAGCTCCAGTTAATGTATGGCATCGTCGTCTTGGTCATCCATTCATTTTTATCATATAAAAATTACTTTCTCGTTATTCTCTTCCTACCTTGAAAATCAATAGTACTATCAATCATTGCGATGCTTCTTGCTCTAATATCATGTAAAGAATTAAACGAAGAAGATAGAAAGATAAAAATTGTAGAAGAAACTATAAAATGTATGAGATGTAATTGCCTAGTTCATTTAGACAGTGAGCTTTTGATAGCTATTTATATACGTTCAGTATGGAGGATTTTTCTCAACTACTTAGAGATTTCCTCAACTACCTTAAGGAAATCTTATCTGCTTATCACAAAACTACAGATGGTTAAAAAGAGGGATAAGGTGAAGTGATGGGAGGTTCAGGTCATATCCCAAGAAACTAACTTGAGACCTGCATCGATCAGCTAGTTCTCGTTCATCTTTCGAATGGCCTCAAAGAAAGGGAGTATATCCCTCAGCCAAAACAAGCTGCAAAAAACTTGTAGGTCAGAGTGATGTCAGCATGCTAATATTTCCCGATGAACACTATTAGATTGCACTATGAGTTGGGCATCATCTTAGAAGGTGATATCTTCCACTGTTATAGGTAAGATACTATCACTCGATGGATAAGATAATGAAGTCCAGCCTCGAGGGCATCATGGGACAAGCAAAGAGACCCAATGCGAGATCGAATGGATGCTGATTGGGTCAGAGGACTTACAAGTTGAACTCGATCGAGATGGAATACTTAACTCGCAAGTGATCCAAAAGTGGTGCATCCTGTTCGTTATAGGTGCCCTACAAGTCAATCACATGAGTGATGGCACTTGTGATACCCTGTGACGATCTCTTTGCTTATTATTATTAACATTTTATCACATGTATATTGTGATATCATTGGATCTATACAACAGGAATCAGATCATGATGAGATCATGATAATGAGACTGATTTACCTTTAAACACAGATCCTAAATTATCCCGATCATAAGTTACTCGAGAAGGACATCGAGATAACCAGATAGACCAGTGTGTTGTTCTAAGTCAGAAGGAGTTCTGACGAGTAGAGGTGCGGGTATGAGATATTCGCGCAGCCCTTGGATCATATAGATAAAATCCAATTGGATAATTGGATAAGTGGATGAGATCGACCTAGATAGTTGGATAGAGATCCAACTCGATAATTGGATAGAGATCCAATGAGGATAGGATCCATTAAGAATTAAGCCACCTCTATAAATAGGAGGAACTTCATGATTGATAGGCTAGAGCTACCGGTGGTTGCCCCTCCTATTCTCCTCAGCCTCCTCTCTACCTCCTTAACTCTAGTAGCCTTGCGGTGTGCATGGAGAGGGAGATCCTATAGTGATCTGAGGAGTGTTATCGTCGCATCCACCATGTGGATCACCGCTAGAGAGGAGTACACGAGTACCCCTTCATCTACTTCATCGGATCTAAAAATTTCGGGAATATACGATCTCCCCAAGTAATAGTTCTAACATGATACATGCTATTTTTCAGTTTTATGATTTTTGTCGTGCACCAATCGTCGTATGATGACCTAGTACTTAATTTTGAGAAATTTGGTTTTGTTTTTATTTTTCGTTGCACATGAGATGCCGACCAACAGATTCCCAGCACACCCACCATTGAATCATAGCATGCGAGCTTTTCATAGATTCTAAGTCCCAAAAAACTTTCAAGTTTTTGGGAACTACCTCCCCTAATGAAGGGGAGGTCAGGACTTCTTCCACCCTTGAGTTATTCAAAGATGAAGCGTGAAGCTTTATCATTTGGTGATCAATAGATTGAGAGGAACTTCTATAAGAAAAATGAGACATCCCGACCTGAGGAGATGGAGGAGCAGAATAATAGAAGACTAATATGTTGATGAATCGATATCGAGACTATAAGAGACTCAAGAACTAACTCACCTTGGAGAGAACGGGGACGAAGCAAATAAGATTTCTAAGGAGGCTCTCGAGGGTTAAACGGATGAATGAACCTCACTAATAAGATGAAGAGGGATTTATAAGGAGGGAGCTGGTCTCTCTCCTCTCACAATTGAGATAAGTGTGACTTCGGGACACTTCCAAAAAAAAGCCAACAAATTAAGGACTTGAAAAGCGTCATAAAGGGATTTAAAATGCGCGAGATAAAGGATTCGAAATGCATCAGATGAAGGACTTCAAAAGTATAAAAATCTACCACGGTAGAGACATAAGATAAAATGTTCAAGAGGTACATCAGTCGAAAAAATCGAACCCGTGTGAAGAGAAATCTACAATGGCGGAGGCATAAAGTAAAATCTACCCGAGGCGCATGAGTCAAAAAAACCCAACCCGTATGAAGAAAAATCTGTCACAATGAAAGTATAAGGTAAAATGTGTATAATATACATGAATTAGGAAAATCCAACCTGCATAAAGAAAAAATTATCATGATGGAGGCATAAGGTAAAATATGTCTGAGGTACATGAGTAAAGAAAACCTAACTCATGTGAAGATAAATTTATCATAGCAAAAATACATTGCATAAGGTAAAATATGTCTGAGGTGTGTGAGTCGAAAAAAACCCACCCGCATGATAAAATGTGCTTGAGGCACATGAGTTGGGAAAGCCCAACCCGCATATAGAGAAATCTGCCATAGCGACACAAGATAAAATGTATCCGAGGCACGTGAGTTGAGAAAACCAACCTCGCACGAAGAGAAATCTGTCACAGCGTGGGCACAAGGTAAAATGTGCTTGAGGCGCGCGCGTCGAGAAAACTTGACCCACAAGGAAAAATCTCAAAAACTCATGCCTCTCTCGAAAGAGCCTCAAAGCATGTCTTTGTGGCTTGGAGAGGGGAGGGGGTTGTTGGGGACCAGTGATATGGGTTATCGACTAATCATCCGACATATCACCACCATATGGTGTCCAATGAGAGAGGATAAGACGAAGCTTCCTTCTTACCATTTATGACAAAATTAGAATCGTAAGCTTCCTTCTCACCATTTATAACGAAAAATACAATCATAAGCTTTCTTATCATCATTTATGACCAAAAAAATAATTACAAGTTTCTTTTATACTATTTACAATTAGGTATAAAAGTTCACCTTTAACATAAAAAAAAAAAAAAAAAAAAAAACTTCTTTTGACTATTCGTATTTGCACTCATACACCTCGTATTACTAACATGAACATCAGAGGGACTAGGTTGAGAAACTTCTCTCAAACTTAGTCTTCTTGCATATAACACTTAAGGAGCTCGATGTTTTTACCTCAAAAATATCTCACAATCGTGTTCATACGAGTTCGAATCACTAATATTTTCTCCTAACAATACTCTTGTTGCTTAGCATTATCCATCAATCCAATCAAGATTTGAAGTTCATACGTCCCGCCTTCACTATCATGCTAAATGCTTGCTCATGATGCTAAATGCCGCTTCACCATTTTCTTATTCGACTCCTAACACACTAATCTAACTGTGACCGTATAGGCAACAAGGAAATGAGAAAGCTAGACGACATGCACATTGCAATCCATCGACGACTCACTTTCAGTCATCACTAAGTGTTCACATTGCAATCCGTCGCTTGTCGCCCAACAACATCCCTCACACGATCGATCGAAAAACAAAAAAAACAATTGAATAAATGAATATTAATGAATCAGATTTTGGAATATCCTCTTGGGTCAAAGTCACCGACATCCATCACGTACGCCACGGCAACTCCATCTGATGATTTAAACTTCCGATGCGTAGATGAAAGAACAAAAAAACCAAAAAAAAAAAGAAAGGGAGAGAGAGAGAGAAGAGAGAGAGAGAGAGAGAACAACCAAATATAATAAACTATGAGAGGGAACCCAGCATGAAC